AAGACGGACTTACGTGTTCAGATGAAGATTGAAATCCAGAATCGGGTTGTGAAGGCCTTTCCAGGTTGGATCTGGAGCTTGGCGATACTTTACCAAAGGCCTTGCTAAAGATTCAGTAGTTCGAAAATGCAAATTAACAGGTGAGTCTGCAAGAGAATCTAAAAAGGTTAAATAATTCCAAGTATATAATACTACAGCAATGAGATTTTGAATCTTTCGCAGATGGTAAGGGCCAGACTCAGTTTGTAATTGTTTCTGAAGCAATGCCTTAAAAGTACGATGAGCTCGCTCAGCTATAGCTTGACCCTGAGAGTTGTAAGGAATTCCGTGCACTAAAGTAATATTCCATTTCTGACAAAAGGTTTGAAATTCCTTACTAATATAAGTGGGGCAATTGTCAGTTTTAAACTGAGAAGGCCGACCCAATACAGCAAAAGAGGATAGGCAATGAGAAATAACATCTGAAGTACGTTCATGTCTTGAAGCAGTAACCCAAAGGAAGTGTGAATGAGTGTCAATAGACTTATGAAGATAACAGTATGGCTTAAAGGTTGAAAATTGAGTTACAACCATTTGCTAAATTTGATTAGCTTGGGTTCCTCGTGGGTTGACACCCACTGGAAAGGGAACTGCCAGTTGCGGACAAGCACGGACAAGCACGGGCTTGAGATAATGAAATTTTAAATTGCTTTGCAAGCGATTTGGCATTTTGATGAAAATAAGAATGACTAGCAACAGGATCAGCAAACAAAGACGCAACATCCTTTAAGGATTCATCTGCCTTCCGATTTTCTTCAGTCAAGGCATTAGTAAAGGGAGTATGACTTCGAATGTGTTCTACATACAAAGAATACAAGCGAGTTTCCAAACTATTCTTTAAAGATAAAAACAAGGATAACAAATTCTTATCCAAAGAGAGAGCACAATAAGGAAAGAGAAGAGATTGCATAGCTAAATACACATATTGAGTATCAACAATCAAGTTAATAGGTTGGTCATTGAACAAACGTAAAGCCAAAATCACAGCAGCCCGCTCAGCATGTAGAGCTGAAGTCTGCGTGGCAGTAAATTTAGAATACCATTGTTGTTGAATCTGCCAGACAACCACACCCCTTGTAGGTGATCCATCAGTAAAGACTAAGAGCTTTAAAAATAGGATTTCGCACAAAAATGGAAGAAAAGGCCGGATTTAAAGTAGTAGTAACCACTATTCTAGGATCCTTGGGTAAAGAATACAAGTTTTCCACATATTGAGAAAAGGCTATCTGATATGATTCTGAAATCATCATTAAATGCTCATGTTCAACTTTTGTACGAGTGAAAGCTGTGCTAATGAGATCCTGTCCTGTAAGATGTAAGGCTCGTTTACGACCTTTAATAATCAAATCCTCTAATGCTGATTGATAAGGATAAATGTTTCTAGGTGGAGTAGCTGACAATCCATTCATGAATGTTGACCGCTTGCGGGGACGCATTAGAATAAAGACATCCCATGGGTAAGGGTGTACTGGGAAGAATCGCTAAGCAAAGTCCTATTGTTAAGGATGTTATCCTGTCCACATATCGATGCTTAAACTTATTCAATATTTCTTGAAGGCATGTTCTTTGAAGATCAGTTAATACAACTAGATCTCCTGGTGATTGTGCTCCCTTCAAAGACTGAAATAAGGGCAACATATCACCAGTTGTAATGTAGAAGAATGGGCGTGCCCAATTAATAATGCCAAGTAATTTTTGCCATTGTACTAATGTATATGATTTCTGTATTTGTAATTCAGGAAGAATTGGAATGGAGAAATTGTGCAACATTCTATGTCCTAAGTAGATATAAGGTTCTACCTTTTGAATTTTGTCTTAAAGCTATATACAATCCCTGTTGTGCCACAATATCTGTTAACTCTTTTAACAACTTAGATTCATCAAAATCCGGGGCTGCTATCAATATTTCATCCATATAATGATAAGACTAAATAGGAAGGAAATTTATTCCGAAAGGATTGAAGGGCATTATCCACGAAATATTGACAAAGTGTAGGGGAATTAAGCATTCTTTGAGGCAACACTCGCCAATGATATCATTTTGTGGGCATGCTATTATTAAAAACTGGGACAGTAAATGCAAATTTTTCTTTGTCTTGAGGCTGCAAAGGTATAGTAAAAAAGCAGACTTTAAGATCAACTACCAATAACTTATAAAAATTAGGAATTAAGTTAGGATTTGGTAGACCACATTGTAAAGGACCCATGGTTGGCTACATTTATTAATTTCTCTTAAATCATGAAGGAAACGCCATTTCCCATTTTTCTTTTTTATAACAAAAACAGGAGTATTCCAAGGACTAGTAGAAGGTTCTATATGACCAGCAGCCAATTGTTCTTGAACCAATTGTTGTAAAGCAGTGAGTTTTTCCCTTGATAATGGCCATTGTTCCACCCAAACCAGCGTAGAACAGAACCATTTAAGAGGAAGAGCCATCATCAAGAATCAAATGGGCATTAAGATGAGAAAGGATATCACAGCCCCAAATATTAGTATGAATATCTAGAATGTATGGTTGTAGGAAAAAGGACTTACCAGCAGATGTTGTAACATTAATTTCTTGAATACTCTGCCAAGCAGCTGTAGAACCTCCTATTCCCCACAATGAAGAAATTGTCATTTTTGGCCACTGTACTGGCCACTGTAAAGAGGAGATGACAGTAACATCGGCTCCAGTATCCAGTAACCCTTGAAATGGTTGTTTATTAAGGAAGAGCGTTAACAAAGGACGAGAGCTGATGAAGTAAGCCTACAGATAAAGAAGTTGATCCAAATCCTGCATCCCCATGATTACCTATACCAGGAGATGGAATTTCATATGGAAGAAGAAGCAATTGAGCAACAGAAGAATTACAAGGAAGAACTTGAGGAAGATTCACTCAAATCTGAATCATGAGGATACCAGTGTAATCTGAATCTATTACCCCAGGCACAACAAAATAGCCCTTTTTGTGTGCAGAAGAATGAGGCAAAATTAAGCCAACTAATCCCGAAGGAAGAGGACCTTTAAATTGAAATGGAACTATTTTAACTTCCATGGGAAATTTAAACTCAATTTCCTCTTGAGTGATTAAATCGATCCCAGCCCTACCGGCTGTGGCTGGGGAGGAGTGAGAGAGACTGCTGGAGGAGTCAGAGTGATGGGAAAGGCACACTTTGGATTCTGGGTGGGTGCCACACCCATTGGCAAGTTTCCTTACCGAAACCGACATTGATTGGCCCAATGAAATCCCTTTTTACAAATAGGGCACTTCTTAGAAGGACGATTCTGAGGTATATAAGGTGTAGAATGACAGTCTTTCTGAAAGTGGCCAGGCTTTTTACACTTAAATTGGTCGCTGTCCTTTCTGAATAGCAGCTGCTAACATATACATTTTATAAGTTTGTGATCCAATATCCTGGCAGACTCGCAGCATAACTGCCAGACTGTAATGAGCAGTAGCCTTTAACGGCTGTAAAGTTCTTTTACAATCTGCATTAGCATTTTCAATAGCTAATTGGCGAAGAAGTTCACAGCAGCTTCCTGATGATCAAACTGCTGTCTAATTGCTTTGGACAGACGCTCAACAAAGTCAGCATAAGGCTCATTGGCATTCTGTCGAATGTTTGAAAAATTTGCTCTAGGTTCTCCAGCTTGGGGTACCTTAAGAAAAGCACGAAAGGCACATTCAGAAACAATAGTTAACGTAGCTGGAGGAAGAACAACTTGAGTAGGAATTGTACCAAACAGTCCAGAACCAAATAGCTCTCAACTGTATATGCTCCTCCTCCTTCTAAAGCAGCAGCTTAAGCATGTCTCATATATTCACTCTCCCAAACCACATATTGCATGGATGATAAAATCATGCGAAATATTTGCTTCCAATCTTCAGGGATCATTGTATAACCATTTTTTATTCCTTCTACAAGTCCTCTTGTAAAATTACCGCTAATCCCATAGTCTGTAACTGCCTTTTTTAACTCTCTTAAGATTTGATAAGGCAGACCCTCCCATTCAGCTACTTACAGTCCAAGCTGTGGCCCCTGACCAGGACGATATTGTACTGGACAAACAGACAGTAATTCTGCAAGTTCTGTTCCTGAGACAGAGGCATCCCTTTTACAAGTCTCTACTATTTTCTGAAAAGAAGACTGAACAATAGAGTCAGGAGGCTTTTGCCCTGTATCTGCAGGAGCTGAGGGAATTGAAGACATATATTCAGGTGAAGAAGGGGGACAAATGACAGCATTAGTATAACATGAAGGTGGAGGTGTTAAAAGAGAAAGTTCATTGTGACCAAATGTTTCAATTGCATGCCTACATGCAATTCTATTTTTGCTCGAGGTTCAGTATGCAATGTTTCCCTTATACGTTGCCAATCAGTTAATTTTAAAGACCCCTTTTCTGGGTACCATAGGCACTGAGCCGCAATCTCCTGGACCAGCCTTAAGAGATTTCTCTGTGGTACCTCGGTATTATTTTTCTTCAACAAATAGCCTAATTCATCTACATGCGTCCTTTGTTCCTCAGAAAGCGAAGACCCCATACTTACAGAAACCAAAAGGTTGAAGAAACCACAAAGGGTTGAAGGTGCAACAAATCCTTGCTGGATGAAGTAAGAGGGTCCCTGTTCAGGCACCACTTGTTGTAATGTCGAGGCAGTCGAGTTGTTTGATCACGCACAACTGAATTATGATCTTTACTGGAGTACAGTCTTGCATTTATATACATTTTTAGTTATCCTCCATCATGGTTAACTTTGGTTACTGCCTAACTTTCGTTACTGTTTAGTACAGTAATCCATACAATTAATTATCTCTACTTAAGTCTAACATATGTCTACTTCCCCACTCTAATCCTCCTTTATCCATAGATTAGTGACTTTGTTTGCCTGAGTTGTATTTGCTTGGAAACAATCTTTATCTGAGGTTCGCCATCCGAGATTGGACCATTCCTGCAATTACAACTCTACAGGTGACCTTCCAAAAATCCCCAATGTCTCCGCTAAAAATCCCCCAATGACCCAAGAATTATTATGTGCCCTGCTAACAATGTTCTTGCAAAATCAGGAAAAAAAATGTTTTCGTCAAAAATAAGACCTGTTACTTAGCATGTTATCTTGGTTCATTCTTAGGCTAAATATGGAGTCCATATGGTTTATCTTTGCAGGAATAACTATAGCAAACTTATATCATTTCTCACATATGGTTTCTCTCCTGTATGGGTCCTCTTATGGGAGGTAAGATTACTACTCTGACGAAAAGCCTTCCCACACTCCAGGCATTGATATGGTTTCTCTCCTGTGTGGATCCTCTTGTGGGAATTAAGATTACCACTCTTCCTAAAACTCTTTCCACACTCCATGCATTGATATGGCTTCTCTCCTGTGTGGATCAAATTGTGAGATTTAAGACTACTGCTACAAGTAAAGGTTTTTCCACATTTCATGCATATATAAGGACTTTCTCCTCTGTGATTCCTTTGATGGACTATAAAAGTCTTATAATAACAGAAGGTCTCATCACAGTCCATGCATTGATACGGTTTTTCTCCTGTGTGGATCCTCCTGTGGGTTTTAAGATGACTGCTACGAGTAAAGGTCTTCCCACACTCCATGCATTTATACGGTCGTTCTCCTGTGTGGATCCTTCGATGGGTTATAAGATAGCAACTGTAAGAGAAGGTCTTTCCACACTCCATGCAAGTAAATTGTTTCTCTTCTGAATATGTCTGGTTATGAGAAATGAGATGATCGAATTTATTAAACCATTTTCCACACTCCATGGATTTATATGGTCTTTCTTCTGTATCAATCATTGTATGGTTAGAAAGCCAATTGACCAGAGGAAGACTTCTCTTAATTCCACTTTGTAATTGCTTTGTTTCATCATTCTTCGGTTGCATCTGATCTACAAATTTCCTTTCCCCCACTTTTGAATGGATTGCTTGGTGTGCCTCCTCGCAATTCTTATTCTCTTGCCCATTAAAGCCTTGAAAAAGAAAAATGAGAACTGTTGCAAGAATTGGGGAACAATAAAACCTTTTCTTCTGAAATTTAGACGAATAATCAATATATTTCATGTCTTTGATGGGCAAACATGAACAGTCCAAACAAAGATTATAGCAAAGACTCTTTTCCAAGTGTAACCCTAATGATCCCCATACAAAAGGATTAGATCACAGCCCGTACCTAATCTTTCCCCTGGGACAATTCCATGGTGCTACAAACTCCCAAAGTGTATTGGACAATATATCATGCTAGGGCAGGAACATACTAAGGACTTCCTAACTTCAAACAAAGTCTCAACTCCACTTGTCTGCAGAGCTGAATCTTTGAAAGCCAAAGGGAATTTCTGGATGAAAATAGCTCCCCACCCTCAACTTAGGCTAATGCCAAACTCAGTACACAAGTGGGCATATCTCCAAGAAGGGAACAACCCTCATTAAATAGTTTTTTTAATGCTTTCGGCTCACAAAAATACAAAATACTCAGTTGAATAACTGTAGAATCATGCACCACCATAACAAAATTGAAAAAAGTGAAGGGGGTCTGAATACTTTGTGAATGCACTGTAAATAAATGATTTTAAAAGAATCAGAAATAACATTCAAGGCCCTACTCTACATTCTTGATCATAGAAAGGGTTTCTTACCCAGAGAAAAGAGATTCCTGGAATTCTCCAGCATGACTTCTCTGTAATGCTCTTTTTGGTCAGCATCCAGTTGAGCCCACTCCTCCTCGGAGAAATAAACAGCCACTTCCTCAAAAGAAACAATATCCTGAAAAAGAACACAAGGTTCCTTGTTAGCAGATAATCCCAAGAAAAATGGGATAATTTTCCTCCAATTCTAGGAAGGAGATCCATTGGAAAAAAAATAATGAGAATCTTCTGCAGAATTAAGAATAAGATCACACCGTTTTTGGCTGATGGCACAACCAAATCAACTTTGATCAAGCTGGAAGTGTTTGGAATGCCTTACAGTGTAACGAACTAAAATATTCTTTGTCAATTGATAGTTAGGTCTTCAATCCATTACCTGTCAGTGACTCCCATTCTTCCAAGGATGGGCGGAGCAAAATACTGGCAAAACCCACCTGACATGTTTTCCAATGGCTTACTTTATCCACTGAAGGACCATCGTATCCAAACTCTAAACCTTCATGAAGAAATTGGAAGAGCTTGTAACAGAACACTATATGTCTATAGAGATTCTAAATCATCAGGTCACAGTTGTCCCAAAGATGCTTTTTAAAAGGCAAAAAAGGACATGTTTTTTGTAATGGTATGTGAGACTAACCCTGGGAAACAGAAGCACTCTGATGCTAACAACAGTCTGGTCAATGAAACCTAATGATGAAGCAGGATGTGTGGAAAAGGCATTTCAAGAAGGATCCTCTTAGAACAGGGGTATCAAACTCAAGGCCCGCGAAGTGGTTGGATCCTGCCCGTGGAGCCATCCTGGTCTACCCTATACGAAGAGGAAGCAGCAGTATGGCGAGTGGCGTCAAACTAGCCATGCCCTCCCAGTTAGCCATGCCCGCCTGGACCCCCATGAGGTCAATCACAGCCGTCAGGCACCTGTCAAAATTGAGTTTGACACCCTTGCCTTAGAAGGAAGAGGGGAGGCTAAGCTGAGTGTGAATGTTCAATGACCTGATGTCAAATTCGTACTGCTTTGAAAAAGCAATTTTATATATTGAACTCTAGAACAAAATATAATCCATTGAAGATTTACGGACCTTTTCCAATGTTTGTGCTCCTTACCTGAAGTAGCGGTTCAGCTAATACTTCAGCTCCAGCACACAGAGGTGATTCTAAAAAGTCCAAGGACAGCTTTCTACTCTCTATTAGAAAGAGAAAAATAGTGGAAGCAGATTTCTTAGAGAGACAATCCAATAAAGTGGAGTGAAAGGACCAGCTGAAATCTCACTTCATGCAGAAAGAGCTTTTCTTACCTTGCGTAGCGCCTTGACTTTGATCTCCCTGGAAGTTCTCCCTGAAGAGCAAGTCTTGAGAAGATCTGAATGTATCTTTCCTCCCCTTGGGATACTCAGTCACAGCTTGCCTGCATTTCTAGACATGATGTGATACAAGAAACAAAGGAAGAGCAGAGAGATATAAATGAATTATTATATTGCACCTTCCAACTAGCAACCCTCAATATCCATTGCTGAAAGTCGAAACAGAATGAACAAATTGCCCCAAATACACCCTCTGGAAGAATAGAACAAATTCCCTTAGGAGTTAATAATCCCAGAAAATTCTGCCAGAGAAGAACTGAGAAATGCACACAGATCCTCTTTAGAGCTGCCATGATTCCATTCTCCCACCTGCAACTCTTCTTGCATGTTTTCCTCCTCCTGAGTCAGCAAGAAGCCTTCAGCCAGGGACACCGCCTGGGAACTGGTCTCTGCTCCACACTCCCGCACCCATTTTGCCATCTCTGGGGGAAGCACAGCCAGCAATTGTTCCAGGAGCACCAGGTCCAGCATCTGAGCCTTGGTGTGTTTTTCTGGTTGCAGCCACTGACGACAAAGGTAGTGAAGCTGAGTGCAAACATCTCGAGGACGGCTCCCCTCATGGAACTGCACTTTTCTGAAGTGGCAGCATTGGACGTCTGAACTATTAGATGCCTCTTCGTGGCTCTTCTGCCCAGGATTCATTGCCCCATTCGTCCCACATCTCCAAGGCAGAGCAGCTGGAGGGCCTTTTCTAATTTCGGCATCTACTGGGGGTTGTCCCTTCATCTTCTCTCTGGTCTTTAATACAGCTCCAAAATGGACCCTTGGATCTCCACAGGTCTTTCTGTTCACAAGAGGTCTGGCGAAATTTTCCAAGGCCATTCAGCTCTCTTCCCAGACAAGATACTTAAAACTCCAGAAGAACCAGAAAATATTTCCAGGTTACATACCTGAAATTGAAAAGAAATAATTCAGGGTGTTTACTAGGGTGATTAATTGACGACTGACCATCCTTATCAAGGGCAAAATGGGAAGGGGGAACAGAAGGGGGAAAAACACAGATTTGGATGCACCTACCAATGTCTGGAATGGTGGAGGATGGAATTTATTAGTTCGCTTGATCTCTCTACTTATGGGGAAAATTGCAGAGAACCCTTCAGGATGTCAATGTCCATCAATATATGAGAAAAATACATTTAAATATGCTTTTGATTTCTGCTTCCTAGTTTTTATTAAAATTTAATTTTTATGTTCATGTCTTCTGTATTATTATTATAAATTACTCTAGGCAGCAATTATACATAATGCTCATTATTTCTCACACAACAGCCTTGTGTGGTAGATTGGGCTGAGAGTTGGGATGGGCTCAAGGCTTTCATACCAAAGTCTGGACTAGACCTAATTTGCACAATCCAAATCATACATGTCCCAGATCACAAACAGCAATTGACATGAGGTACTCTCTAAATCCATTTAATAAGTAAATATCACTAAGACTTATATACCGCTTCACAGTGCTTTTACAGCCCTCTCTAAGCAGTTTACAGGGTCAGCCTATTGCCCCCAACAACCTGGGTCCTCATTTTACCCACCTCAGAAGGATGGAAGGCTGAGTCAACCTTGAGCCTGGTGAGACCCGAAGTGCCAAACTGCTGGCAGCCCATAATCAGCAGAAGTAGCATGCACTCAAACCACTGCACCACCAATAAAACATTCTAGGGAGTTCAACACCCAGCCTTTACAATGGCCAAGCTTGACAAAAAACACTGGCCTGTTGGCCCTCCTCCAGCATCTTCCTCATTTATCGGGCAGCAGAACCAAACTGGTGACAGTGGGGAAAGATGGGAAAGCAGGAAACCGAGTTCCAGTCCTTCCACACCTTGCACCCTACACCTTGCACACGAATTGCAGCCTTTGTTCGTTCGCTTCTCTAGGTCGAAGAAGGGGGAGGCGAGGAAAACCCCTTTCTGAAAATGGAGCCAAGAAATGTGCAGGAAACTGTGCAGGAGTCAAGGCTGACTTGGAGGCACAAATCTCTGTTTTGCAAAGACGACCTCTCCTCCTCTCCCTCCCACATAGAGCTTTTCCCGTCGAAATGGAGCATGTCTTCTTTTCTGCGACCTTGTTTCCCTCCCTCCGTGGATAAATCCGAAGCTTTGCTTTCCGCCCTGCCTTGCCCTTGCACACACAGGGGCGGCAGGGGAATATGGGACCACCACAAGCTCTTCCCACGACTCCAAGCCTGATAGAAGTTTTGCATTTCTCCATGCGAGTCTCCAGCACGGGAGATAATCCCCCGCCACCCATCAATGACCCCCGACTCACGTCTGGATCTCCAAGTCCAAGGCTTCCCTGCAGCCTCTTTGCTTGCTGGAAAGGCTGACCCAAAGGCAGAATCGGGCACTGTAGAAAGAGAGGACACGCTTTGAAGCCTTTGCTGTTAAATGCCTCGAGAAGCACGCAGCTCTAC